CGCAGGTCTTATAAAATTTGTCCTGCAGTCACATGCAGAACTGCCCTTGCCAGGAGACACTTTCGTATTATCGCAGTTCATCTTTACAACACCTTAAACAAGCATTGCCAGATTCATCACCTTGCGAAAAGACAATGCAAAGCCAAAGTAATGAACTGGTTACTTGAACAGGATTACGATACAACCGAGAATTTAATGAGACTCACAGTGCTATAAAATTAAATACACACACAAACACACATACACACACACACACAAACACACACACACACACAAAACAAGACACAGAAAGAGACACACGCACGCGCATACGCGTCTTATCATAAGTCTACAACTGTGAGAAGAACTGGTACCCATGACTCAAGTTAAATCTTACAATGGGTGCCAGAGCTCGACTGCTTAAGTTTTCACTGATGCTGTTGTGATAATATGTATGTATGTAAGCATTGTACTTCTTTTCTATGTCAATAAAAATATTATTATATTATATTATTATAAACTTAAGCTTCTGCCTACATAATTTGCTTAGTGGTAAACCAATTCCTGCAAAATTATGAATAAACTTTCTATAATAATTACTGAATGCGACGAATAGCTTGACGTCATCGGTACATGTTGGCGTCGGATAACTTTCGATGACTCGTATTTTGTTAGGATCCGGTAAAATACCTTCCGCTGATATTGTGTGACCTAAGTAAGGTATTTCAAGCTTCAAAAAATCGCATTTTGATGGGTTTAATTTTAAATTTACTTTTCGTAACCGAGTAAAAACAGACATGAGATTTATGTTATGTTCCACCAAATTTCGTCCAAAAATGATCAAATCATCCAAATATATTTTTGATCATAGTTGAGACCTGACATAGCAACTGTCATTAGTCTACTAAATGCTGAACTACTGATTTTTAACCCCATGGGTAATCTGCACATACGATACTGCGATTTATCAGTGGTAAATGCGGTATACTTTCTAGATTCTTTCGTTAAATTACATTAAAAATAACTAGAACTCAAATCATAATGGCTAAAATAAAAGGCACCTGATAAAGATTCTAATATATCAGTAATGTTTGGGAGAGGAAATTCATCATCTTGAATCCTGTCAATTAACTGCCTGTAATCACATACTACTCTCCATTGACGTTTACCATTTCGATCCAACTTTTTAGGCACTAACAACAATGGACTAGACCATTCACTACTAGTTTTTTCTGTGATTCCGTCTCGTAACATTTGATCAATTTGTTTATTAAGTTCTTCTTTCTGTGAAAATGGAATCCTGTATTGTTTTTTATACACGGGCGTTGCATTAGTTTTTAAATGAATAGACTGCTCGTAAACGTTCGTAACCGTTAATTGATCACCCGGTAAATGAAAGATATCCGAGAATTTAGCACAAATCTGTTCTATTTCTAATTGTTCCTCCTTATTCAAATATGATCCTAAATTAAGTAAAGAAAATAACGTTCGTATTCTCTCGACGCTAATATCCAGCTTTTCAAACTTACAAAATTCGTAGTTATCTAATTTATCGACCTCAAGTTCGTTCCGTGTCCGTGTGGTGACGGATTAAGAATACAAATTTTCACCACCCCAATTCATCCCGTGGGTGTCGTAAGAGCCGACTAAGGGAGCAAACTAAGCAGGACAACAGCACTGCAAAGAGAATGAAAACTTGAAACAAACCCTTTTTTTTTTTTTAACGTGTGGAAATCCCCTCGGACCGTCACCCCTCCAGGGTTTGCGGCGGGGTGGTGTGTCGGACTCGGACCGACTAAAACCACACGGTGTGCCACTCTGCGCCTGTAACAGGAGGGATCCGGGAACAGCTGTTGTTAAGACATCCGGACCCCTCCTAGCGCCAGCCCGCTCCTGGTGCGGGCTCCGTCTCAATATTTTTCCTCTCTTTAGGCGACGTCCGGCACACGCGGACGCCGCCCCCTCGCGGCTGGCCAAACTAATGCGGGTGGAGGTCGTCTGGACCAGGAGGTTGGAGACTTGATCCATTACTGGATCGTCTCTACAACCTCCTCCATCAGCGATGACGTCGACGCAATATTGACGTCGGGGGTAGCCTGGGTCGACTGGCTAGCCCCTGACGTCTGCCGAGAACTGCGGGGAGGCTTGCAGCCTCTCTGCCCCATCTGGTGATTGGCGGGCTTATTGCCCGCCGCACACGCTGGGCAGTGAGGGGCGGCAGAGCATTCTGCCGCCTTATGCCCCGGTTGACTGCAGCGGAAACACAGTCCGCCGCAGTCAAAACAGCTGTCGCACTTGACGCGCGTGTGTCCCGATGCTAGGCATTTGTAGCACCTCATCGGTCTCGCCGCCAGGACTGTGATCCTGGCGCTCACGAAACCGATGAGCAGCCTGCCGGCGTCGGCCAATACTTTGGCCGACGCCAAAGTACGGGACAGCTGACCCACACGGCGCCAAGCCCTCCTATACCGGGGCACCCCGTCTTCTCCCGGATTACAGCGCGGACATCTTCGGCCGTCACTGAGTCGTCCAGGCCCGAGATGCGCAGTTCCGCGCACTTGGTAGGCCTGGCGACCCTGACACCATCTGTGGTCGCAAATATTCCCCGCAGCCTCTCAGCAAAGGTGTCCGCCGTCTTTGCGCCTTCAGCCCCAGGGAACTCGAGGACTCGAGCTCCCGTCTTGGCGAGGCGCATCCTGACCCCCACCGTCCCAAAATGGACTTCTTGGAGCCCCTCGCCTCCTGCCAACCCTCGTTGGAGGGGGCAGGTGCGGAGGGGCCCGGCAGGGGTGGCCTTGGCCGGCGCCTTAGCCGGTGCCTTGGCTGGCGCCTGGGCCGGTGCCTTGGCCCCCCTCCTCGGCTTTTGGGAAGCCGATGGAGTAGGGGCAGACGCCGTCGCCGCGTAAGAAACGCGGCCTCCCACCACGGGGAGCGCGGTCGGAGCGGCGGCCTAAGGCCGCCGCTCCGACCGCCGCGACCGCGCCCGACGCGAGCGGGGGGCGCACAATCGGCGCAGGGGGCAGTCTCGCCTCCAGGACAGCCAGGCGTCCGTCCAGCATATTCCCAACTGCGATGAGGATTTCACGCAGTTGGCAGTCAAATGCCCCTGAGTTGGTGGTAGGGGCAGGCTGGGACGCGGACGGGGCTTCCCGCTCGGGGAGGTTCGCCTGGAAGCGGGCGAACTGAGCGCTCAGCTCGTTCACCCGCTCTGTCAGCCTCTCGTTGGCCACCTGTAGGCGCGAGACGTCGCCCACTAGGCCCTCCACGACCTCCGACAAAGCGGAGGAGGAGTCCTTAAGGGCCCTCACAAACGAGCCCTTAAGGTTTACGGACTTAGTGGCCACCTTGTGAATGACGGCCACCGCCGCTTTCGCCCTCTCCTGCACGGACACGGGAGCCTGGGGGGGCATTTCCCCCCACCGGCTCCCGAACCTTGAGCAGGAGATCCGCGATCTCCTCCTCGGCTACGGCCTCGCCGTCCACCCGTACACTTCTGTACGACTCCGCGTTGGAGAACGCGGAGCCTGACGGGGTTGAGACCGAGGCCGAGGCCGGTTTGCGTGCCCTCCCTCGGCGGCTGCTTGCCACCTTTGGTGGCATCATCTCCTGGGACGTATCCGTTTCCTCGTCCAGGGAGCGTCCGCGTTTCCGGCTGTCGCTTCGTTCCGCCTCCATGGCCTCCGCGCCATCCGACGAAACGGCGGATCCGGAACGAATACGATCCGATGCTCTTCGGCTCCCAGAGACCAGAGTCAGACTGACCTCTGGGAGCCCCATCGAGATAGGCGTTCCCAACGCCACCTCACCCTCAGTGGACGACCCATCCACTCCACTGCTCCTCTTCTCCTTCTTTCCCTTCGCTTGCTTGTCCGTTTGACTTGCCTGTTTTCGTTGTGTTTGTCCGATCGTTTTTTGTTTTGAGTTTAAATTGAAATCATCCATAATAAATCCCACGAGTGGGGGAGAACTAAAGGTCCACCCGGGCAGAGATCCCCCAATACCCGGGCAAGCGTAAGTTTTTAACCCAACCGAGGGGTCCGCAGGTACCTCGGCTTGGAGTGCGCTCGAGACTGAACTTCCCATCAGCCATGCATCCCCTGGCCACGCACCAGAACACGGGATTCGGGGAATTTTTTAGAGAGGTTATCTTCCTCGCGGTCCGGGCGGTTAAGCCAAGACCCTCGCCCCCGATCAGAGCCGCGAGACTTAACCACAGCGCTCTTCTCGGGATTACGATATGCCGACGGTTGACAGGGAGACTACGTCCCCCTGCCTGCTCGGTGGTAGTGTCAGTACACGCCGAGCCCGTCCTCCTTTCTCCACCGCTGTCAGCGGAGAAACTGTGGCCCCTACAGGGCCCCGCCATCCGGTTTTTTACCGATGTTTCCTCCTCCATGCTCCGAAGAGCGAAGAGCCAGCAGGGCAACCGGCAGACACGCCCACCCTGCTGGACCAGGCCTTGCCCGAGAGCCGATGAACGGCTACCTCTTCTGCTAGAATATTGGCCGCTGGCGATAATCCTCTCCTCCAAGAGGACAAGGAGGAAACAGTACCATCGCCAGCGTTTCCAGGGTGCACCACGGGGAGGTTTTCTAGCCTAGCACCCCAAACCCTATACCAACCCGTCTGGCCAGCGTGGTATAGTAGGCCAAAACCTCCTTTCTAAGGAGAGGCCTATGTCCAGCAGTGGACTAGTATAGGCTGTTGATGATGATGATGATGATGAAGTTCGTTCAAACCTAGTGAAACTTCCTTGTCAGTGGTATTCAAAATTGTCACTGGAATCTTACCATTTATCAGCCTAGCTACTACACTAGCTAAAAAAATACCTTGTCTTATCTCTTTACGGTATATGACACAGTCATAAGTAACGCGTGTAGGTATATACTCACTCTCTCACTCACTCGGTGCAATACCGGTCGGACGCTAGACTAGTAACTAGCAATAAGTTGCCCTCTTTGTGATTTTAAATACACCCACCTATAACAATAATTATGGGCAAATGTGTTAAGTGTACAAAAATGGTTACCAAAAAAAGTCCAGGCATACAGTGTTCGAAGTGTAGTAAGTGGCTGCATGCGTCATGTGCTTCCATTACTACAGAGCAGTTAAACACCCTGCATTCGACGGATGCCGTGAACTGGAGATGCCGCTCTTGTACGGGAAGCGCCAAACCCAGACGACTGTCTTGTATCTTACCTGATGCCGAAGAAGAAGAAAATACGGATACCGAGATGATTGATAACAACATAACACAGCGTATATTGAAAGACATACGAAGAGAAGTACGCGATATAATGCGGCAGGAGCTGCAGTCTACCCTTCAGTTTTACTCTGATAAAATAGATGAATACGAAAAAAAAATCCACATTTACGAGGGTAATCTGAAGGCTGTTGAAAACCAAAGCTTAGAAATTAAAAATAAATTCAAAAACATGGAACTGAAATACGATGTGCTGGAACAAAAACTGCACGCCATAGAACAAAGTCAATTAGCTAATTATGTTGAAGTGTGTGGTATTTCAGAAAAGGTAATGAAAATGTAGATGGTATGATTGAAAACCTGTGTAGAAAAATACAAAGAAATCCCGATGATATTATTAAAGCATATCGTAAGAAGAATATCCGATCTGACCCTAAGACACTAAGTCGACCCTCTGCAATTGTTGTTAGTCTAAAAGAAGGCTGTCGAGAAGAATGGCTACAAGTCATAAAACCACTCACTATCACTGGGAAGGATATAGGAATTGACGATGCTAATAAGATCTACATCCGAGAATGTCTATCACCAAATACGGCATACTTCCTGTGGGTGGCTAAAACGGAGTTAAAACAAACTGACTTATGTAAATTTGTGTGGTGTAAGAATGGGCAGATATTGGTACGAAGATGCGAAAAAGGAAAAACCCATAATGTAAGATCTGTAAAAGACATACAAAGATATGTGGCAGAGTTCAGGAGCAGCAAGGGTACATAATTCTGATGCATACATTTATTCTGTTGCACAATATCTACCCCCATATCAAACCTTCTCAATAAAAATGGATGACATTTATAATAGCATCATAGAACACACATATAATAACTGGAATGAATTTACAAACGATGTACCGAAGATATATAAATCAACAATATTATTACACGTGAATATTAGATCAATAGTAAAGAATTTTTCCCAATTGGAATACATTATTGCTGACTGCCCTCAAATTATTCACATAGTTGCCGTCACCGAAGCAAACATCTCTGACAGAACAAAATCATTGTTCGAACTGGAGGACTACGATATGCATACACAGTTACGGAACTACAGGAAGGGAGGCGGTGTTATTTTATATGTTCACAAAAGTGTATGTTTCAATAGACAACCAATAAGTACACGGAACTTTGAGTGCATTACAGGTGAGCTAAAAATGATCGATGGTTCAACAACAGGTCTGTGTGCTTTGTATAGACCCCCCAATCTGGATAGGACCCAATTCGTAGCGGAATTAGTGCGCACAATGGATCAATTCCCACATAAAAATAGCTTAATAATTTTAGGGGATATGAACATTGACTTAAAACAACACTCATCTATACCTAATTTGTATATTGATTCACTCGGAGAGATAGGCCTAGAAACCGGAATAAGCCAGTTCACTCGGATAGATAAGAAGGGTGAGTGTATCACAAGAACATGTATAGATCATATATATGTACGTAGTATCGACCAGCAAGCGGTGCACACAGCTGTTGTAAACAACGCGCTCGCCGACCACTTCATAACCGGTTGCGCGCTAGTCCACAATACGCTTGTCAACAAAAATACTCAATATAAAATTGTCACGAAGTTAGATAATGAGAGGGTGCGTAGTGAGTTGTGTAAAATAAATTGGAATTTAGCTATGAAGTACGATAACCCGACAGATGTATTGAATTACATATTGGAAAAAATTTCATGTTTATAAAAAGTGTACCTATAAAGAAAAAATTAAAGAAAGTAGAAGGCAAAGTTGTAAGTGGATTAGTGATGCAATAGTAAAGATGTGTAAAAAACGAGATGAATTATTGAATATCTGGCTTAAAGATCAAAGTAATTTGCAAAATAGATTATTGTATAATAAGTATAGAAATCTAACGAATAAACATATAAATAATGTAAAAAATAACTATTTCTTGACAGAGATACAAAGTAATTTTCATAATGCTCGTAAAGTTTGGCAAATCATAAACGGGTTGTGCGGTAAAATAAATAACTCGATTGATAACATAATTATAAAATATTTCAAAGCATCGCCCGATGTGATTTCGAACATATTTGCTTATGAATTTCAAAGTAACGTAAATAGCTTGTGTGTGCAATGTAACACGCCAATTCTCAATGCTGTAACTTATAGCAAAGAATGCAATGTATCAATAAGGCTACATAAAGCTACAAATGATGTAATCTTTCATATTATAAAACATTTAAATGCCAAAAAATGCCCAGGCCTCGATGGTATAAGAGTGCAAGATTTGCAACATATTATCAATGAAATTACCCCGGTCATTACGCATTTAATTAACACATGTATTGCCACGTCCGTATACCCTGATCAATTGAAAATCGGAATAATAAGACCTATTCACAAAAATGGTTCATATTCAAATACAAATAACTACAGGCCAATTACTATATTGTCATGTATAGATAAAATAATTGAAAGATATTTAGGCCAGGAGATAGGTAGGTTTTTAAAAGAAAATAGTATAATTAATGAAAAACAATTTGGTTTTCAAAAAACTAAAAGCACCTCTGAATTATTATCCAAGTTTAGCAATGAGATTAACGGGTATCTGGACAACCGTGAACATGTACTTGTTGCCTTTATTGACTTCAGTAAAGCATTTGATTTATTAGATTATAAAACCTTATTTACTAAATTAAAGCATAATGGTATACGTGGAACTTTGATGAATTGGTTTGAGAATTATCATCGCAATCGTTACACCGCAGTAAGTATCGCTGGCTCTCTAAGTGATATGATTCTAACCGACAAAGGCACGGCACAGGGTTCGATTCTCGGGCCAACCGAATATTTGTTATATGTAAATGACATGTGTGATGTATTCACTGAGGGATCGGTGTATCAGTTTGCTGACGATACATGCTTGATATCTGCGCATAAAGACCTACGTGAGGCGCAGAGGGTTATGCAGCGCAACTTTGATCTATTGTGTAGCTGGGCCCACGATGTGGGTCTAGTGATTAATGCACAAAAAACTAAAATTATGCATATACATTCACCTTATTTGACATCGCCTTGTGAGCCAGTCATTGTTGCTCATGAGCACTCGTGCTTGCATCGGACGGGAACCCTGTGCAGTTGCCAATCATTAGAGGTGGTGTCTCAGCATATGTATCTGGGTCTTACCATAGATAATAAATTCCACTGGGGGCCTCATATTAATAAAGTATGTAGTAAATTAAGATCCTTTCAATCCAAATTATATGTACTTAAATATAAATTACCTTACAAAACACTTAGAACCATGTACCTCGCACTTGCCGACTCCGTGATTGGCTACGGACTAGGTAGCTATGGGCGCACATACAAGACCTACCTCGAAAACATTTATAACATACAATTAAGCATCTTAAAAACAATAGTACCTAGAAAAACTAAACTACAATTTAAAGAAGACGAATGTGGCCTATTTAAACACTGTCAAATATTAAATGTTTTCGATAAAGTGAGCGTATGTGTACTAGATGAGGAATACCACAACCTTGCTAAATTGAAGGAAAATATAAGATTGGAGTCACTACGTCACTTGTCATACCTACCCAATTATAGAATACCTAAGCATACTAATGTATATGGGACGCGGACGTGGGAACACATGCTGCCCCGTATAATGAACAACATACCTATCGAAACCTGTAGCAAGATGAATAAAAAAAATTGTAAAACTGTTTACATAAAATATTTACTGTCTAGCTGATACTCAACTTTATAAATATATATGTAATTAAATTGTAACCGAGATGTGTCTGGTATACCACGGATAAACTCTTGATGGTTTGTGTGGTATATGAAGGATAAAATGCATGTGTGAATTTTATATTAGACAATAAATAAAAAAAAAAAAAAAAAAAAACTTAATGATCTCACATCGCGGTGCGATAGAAAAAGAATAGTTATAATAATGTAAAGGTAAACTAAACCTACTCTGTGCGACTTTAAGAGACAGCATGTCTGTCTCATAATCTTTGACGGCATAATATCGCTTCACAAAATCTTGTCCTAAGATACATATCGCCTTACACGGTAAATTCCTAAATACGTAAAACTTATGCTTAAAAAATATATCGTTATGTCCTAATGTTAAGTAAACAAAACCTACTGACGTTAAGGTACCACCTTTACCATTAATGTTTTACTCACAGTTATGTAATTCTAATTTAGTTAAATCTAAAAGTTCATATTTAATAGCTGATAAAGATGCCCCTGTATCTACTAAAAAGTCTAATTGTAACTTATCCACACTAAAATTTACCCAATTAATACTATCGCAGGCTAAGACCTGATTAGGAACGAAAAAACTGGTCTAAATTATTTATTTTATTTATTTTATTTTATACTTTATGCACAAATGTGACACAGGCGGATTTAATGCCGTAGGCATTTTCTACCAGTCGACCTTAGGGCGATGCAGAGTCAAAAAAATGGTAGATGCACAGAAATTAGAAATGTGATTTAAAAGAAAAAAATAATAATACTATAAATAGAATATCATATGCACAGGGCACTTAAATAAATTGCATTAGAATATATTTTAATAAAAGAGATACATACATATATAATAGGTAATATTATAGGTAAATAATACATAAGTATTTGTGTTTACATAATAATATACATTTATACATACATATAATTATACATATTATATATATATACATACATACACACAATAAATTCTAGAAGAGAGAGGTATCAAGGTAGATCTGATAAGGAGTTTAAGAGATGTTTCTGCAACAGGTATTTAAAAGTTTGCCGAGTTTTTGCCATCCTGATCTCGCGAGGCAGCGCGTTCCATAACAGGACGGATTGTACCAGAAAGGTAGAATGTAGGAAGTCAGAGCGGTGAGTGGGGCAGTGAAGAAGGAGGTTGCTTGAAGATTTAAGGTTTTTATCATGGTTTGCCCCTAAATATTGAAGTTGAGTAGTTAAGTAGGAAGGAGAACTAGGAGAAAAAAGTAAAGAATATAGGGTACTTAATGCTCGTGTCTCTCTGCGTTGGCGAATTGGAAGCCACCCCAAATGGGAGCGATGCTGCGACACGTGATCATATTTGCGTAAATTGAAAACGAATCGAATGCAATTGTTGAGAAGACGGTCAAGCTTATTGAGCAGATCTGCATTCAGGTCAAAGTAGCACACATCACCATAGTCGATTATAGGGATTATAAGGGTCTGGGCAAGCATTACTTTAGTTTTTATTGGCAGAAAGTTCTTAAGCCTATAGAGGGCCCGCAACGAGCCGGTGACTTTCTGGCACACACATGCAACTTGTTTTCGCCAGCTAAGAGTCGTGTCAATATACAATCCGAGGTCCTTCACACTTTCACAGAATGGAATAACCATGCCATCGTAGATAAGTGGCGGTAGTGAAGCAAGGTCGAGCTGACTCATACGACGGTTACTTCCGATGATAATGCCTTGGCATTTATTCGGGTTCACCGATACGCCAAACATATCTGACCAGTGTTTAATGGCCGCCAGGTCACTATTTAGGATCGAGACCGCGGACGATATATCGCACAACTCAGTTTGATAGTATAACTGCAAGTCATCAGCATAGAGATGATAGGAACACTGAAGTCTTGGGGTGATGAGGTTAATGAAGATAGAAAATAGAAGAGGTGAAAGAATACCGCCTTGTGGGACGCCAGCAGAAAGACCGCGCCAGCCAGAGGAAGAATCTTCCGTCGTGACTGACTGCTGACGATCCTGAAGGTAAGAGGAGAACCAGTCCAGTGCTTCTTGAGAGACCGAGAAATGGGATAGGACAGCAAGGAGGAGTTCATGACTGACGGTATTGAAGGCATTGGAAAAATCAACCAGTACCAAGGTAGTAACCTTAGCATTCTCCATCGCCACCTTAATATCACCAGTCACTTTAAGAAGAGCAGTAAACGTGCTATGGCTCGGTCGAAACCCCGACTGAAGAGGACTCAATAAATTGTTACCATAAATAAAGTAGGAGAACTGTTTGTGGACACAGGCTTCAAGCACTTTGGAGAGGAAAGGCAGAATAAAAATGGGACGAAAGTGAGTGGGAAGAGACGGATTGGAAGTTTTAGGTAATGGGCGTACATACGCTTTCCGCCACAAAGATGGAAATGTGCTAGACATGAGGGAGAAGTTAACGATATGGGAGATAGCGGGGAGGAGGTGGACTAGCAATGTGGTGATCATTCTCCGACTAATGCCATCACAACCAACCGCTTGGGATTTGATAGATAGGACAATTTTCTTAATCTCTCCCTCTGCGACCGGACCAAAGAAAAAAGGACTTAAGTTAGAACGCGGTAGACCATTGATGTAAATAAGGGTATCATGTTCAGATTGACTGTCCAACGTGAATGAGGTAGTGAAATGTTGGTTTATGGAATCGAGACTTATGGATTGAGGAAGGTCTACATGACGCGACCTGCCGATACCAAGAGTTCCAAGGAACTTCCAGATATCGGCAGGGGAGGAAGAGGAAATATTTCAAGAACATGGCGGCGTTCAGCATTCCGTATCATCTGATTACACCGATTTCTCGCAGTCTTATATACTTGCCAGTTGACTTCGACACGGTCCCTCTTATACGTTCTAAAAGTACGATTTCGGCGTCTCATGGCCATCCGTATACCCTCGGTCATCCAGGGCGCCGGCGGCCGTTTAACTCTAACCTTTCTAACCGGTGCATGGGT